GGGGGGGGGGAGAGCACAGATGCCTGAAGTCCGTACTAAGACAAACCTACTGTTAGAAGAGGTGAATCGATAAAAAAGCCATTTGCTGGTTACAAAAAGAAATACATATATCTTGCTCAGCCTCTTGCTCTGAAACAGAAGAAAAGCTCTGGGATTTATGGAATGTGGATTTCCATACAGAGGCCCTGTAATATATAAATACTGGGCCAACCTCTGATGTGAAGAGAAAGGCCGAGGGGGGCCCGTGTGCAGGAGGGAAAGAGTGGAGGGATGTGAAATCCAGACCCTGGGCTCTGTGCCTCAGGCCCCAAGTGGACATGGGAAATGCATCCCCCTTCTCCTGGTGCTTCTATTTCTTCATTATTTTTATCTATTTTTCTCCCTAGGGCCAGAGGAAGCAGTGTAAAAATGACTTTGCAGGCTTTGAGACATTTAAACAGAAAACTGTAATGCGACCCAGCTGATCTGAATCTCTCTACTCACAAATGTAGGTATTCGTTCAATATTTATCATGTTTCTTCAGTGTGCAAAGCACTGCATTAGATTCAAAGGTGGAAAACTGCCTGATAGGCACTTCATTCATTCATTCACTCACTCAACAAACATGTGGGAACAAACAAGGTAAGATCCATCACTTCTCTCACAGTGCTTCCATCCTTGTGGAGAGAAATGGACAAGTCAACACACATGTACAGTACTCTGGAGATAGAAAAGAGGGCCAGCTGCATTCAACAGAAGAATCACAGATGCCTTCCCAGAAGAGGTGACTTACTCCCAGGTTGTAGGCACCTGGAACTCAGGGGTTCTGCTGAACATCACATTTCTCAGTCTACAACCCAGATGTTTGGGCTACATATCATCACACATGTTGGCATTTGGAAATGACGTTTTCCAGCTCTTATATCCAAATACCCAACAGCGGTTGCAGAAGAAGAGCATGCATGTACCTTGCAAATAATGCAAGCATGTATCATGTAATAATTGCTTTTATGAGGCAATCTTCTTCCCTAAGACACAGATCATCAAAATTCTTTGCTATTTATTATACATTAGTTTATTGCTTTCCATCAATTACATGGTGAAATTTATATCTTTGCAGATGGCCAAGGTGGTGGGCTCGGTGGCCCAAGGCAATTAGATAAGGCCTTAAAGAAATCAGACTGTGAACAAGGCAGAAGTTTAATAAAATTTGAAACCCACAGCTGTCAAGCTACAGGAAGGTGCTCACAATATCAGGCAAACATGACTACAGAGATGGTTAGTGTTAAGAAGCTATAGGAAAAAGTTTACATACCATTTTGGTGACAAGTTTAAAGACTATGTTGGTGCATGTGTGTGTGTGTGTGTGTGCATGTGCACATATGTGCACATACATCTATGCACGCACATACACATGGTGTATTTATATTGTATTTGAGTTGATGCAAGATGTGCTAGAGGGAGGAACACAGTATTGCAAACACAGCACTTACTTATACCACTAGATCTTTTATTTCTCTCTCCCGAATCACCTTTGTATTCCACACAAACCCCCAGACAGCTTACAGTCCTCAAGCCCCTCACCTCTGTAACCCCCTTCATCCACCCGAAAGTTTTCTCTCTTATCGCTAATCCACATACATGTCTTTCTGTGGAATATGTTAATTTAAACAGCTAATATAGCCTAAAACTGAACAATACAGACCTGATGATGGCAGAAGTTCAGGAGTGAATTAGCAACAAGTCAAGTGTAGATGGGGGCGGGGACAACAGGAGAGAGACTTTTCCGATCAGGGAAAAGATGAAACAAGGAAAGGATGCATCTGAACCCCTGCAGAGCAGTTTCAGCGCTGCGGCAAGTCACTCCGGCATCCTCTTGACCTGAACTCAGTTTCTCTCTTTTCTGTCTTCCAGAATCTTCTGTGATCACTTCAAACAGACTACTGACCTGCTTGCCTGATCACTTCGTGGTTACTCATTTCTGGCCATTTCACCCTCAAGATGGTGAGGTCCTAGCCTGAGGGGAACGTGTCTTCCCAGGGTCTAGCACGGTGCCTGGCATGTAAATGCCCCATGTGAAATGCTATCCAATAAACTGATCTGATTCCGTTTCTCACCTACAAAATGCACATTTGTCCACCAGTCCATCCATTTGTTTATGCACCATTTACTGGACAACCTGCTAGGTTAAATACTGTGGGAAACATACAGATGTGTCATCTAGTAACTTAACTTCAAATAACACTTCCTGCCTGCCTCCCAGAACTGTAAGGAAGAACAAAGAGATTGTGCCTATAAATGCGCTGTGGAAACTACACATGCTACCCGAGGTAAAAGGTGCTTTTATTCTTACTTATGATGTTTGCCATGCTGATGGCTGTCTCTCCTGGGCCTGCAAGGGGTTGTTTTTTTTTCGCCATTACCCCAGTCTCCCTTCTCTGTAGCTCCCAGCAGACGTATTAAGTGTAATCTTGGAACTGTTCCAGGTTCCCTTTTCAAGACTTGACTGTTCAATGTTTCCTACACACAGCAGGCGGTTCTGGCCTGGCGTGACATCAGGAACTCTGAAGGATTCACTCCCCAAGTGTCCTGGTGTCTGAGCCCTAGCTCTTTGTCAAGGTTCCACAGAGCTTGCCTGGGGAGCAGGACAAAGCCCCATTACAGGCTGCCTCCACAGCCCCACCAGCTGCCATCCAAGATTACCTGCTCTCTGTCACCCTTGGGAGCACCAGCTGATGAAGCCAAGTCCCGCCCACTGCCCCTGCTTGCTTCCGGGAACAGCCTGAGCTCTGCAGGAGGCAGGCGGGGCCCCAGGCTCTGGCTTGGTTGATGGTGGAATTGTGCTCTTGAGAGAAGTCCACAGGAAATTGCACAACCACTAACAAACTGAGCCCCCTGCAGCCTTACTGAGCTAATACCATAAGAGCTGACTCCACCTGCACTGCGTGGGTGCTAAGACCTCACCTGGTTGTGCACTGAAAACTGCTTCCCTGTGACTACTCAGGGCTAATGCCTCTTCTCACTATGGCAGCTGCACAAATGGAATCCTGAGCCTTCTCCAGACGCTGAAGGGGAAAGAAGTTTTAAGGGATCTTTGGGAGCACTTCCATTTAGACCCACCATCTCCCCCCACACACTTCCTCCCCCTTTTAAACTAATTTGCATAATCACAGACTGAACACGTGTGACACACTCTAGACTCAGGTTTGCATTTACACAGGAACAAGTTGTGTGCTTTTAAATGTGATCTTTTCCTGACTTGGTCCCCACCCTTTGTCTTTCTTTTCATTTACTCTCCCATCTCCTCCTTATATTTCTCTTTTTCTCTGACCTTCCCACACCTGGTGGATGACATGGTCACTTGCAACCTCCCTCCATCAAATACCCACCCTCTTCCCTCGCCACGTTAATCCAATTGAACAAGTATATTCCACAATAGAAAGGAAGGAAACTAAGATTCACTGAGCTCCTAGGAGGCACCAGGCATAGTGCAAAAACACAGAATACAGACGGACAAGCTCCCCGCACCCACAGAGCTCACCTGGAGCCTGGGGCCTGCGCTGGTGCTAAAGCTCCTACCTCATGCACACACGTAAGCCAGGGAAGGCATATCCCAAAAGTATGGGCAAAGGAGTTACAGACGCCCTTAAAGAGCATGAGATTCAGAGACTGGCCAGTGAGGTCTTCCCACAGATTGTCACTGAGAGATGATCACCTTTTCTCATGGAAAGGATGGCAGCCTCAGCTACAAGTTTAAGCTCTGCCTCTAACGGACTTCTGTTAAGCTGAAACCTCTTCTGACCTTAGCTTCCTTATTTTCTCCTTTCTAGGACAATTGCACCCAATCACTACTATGGCCAGCTCTGAAATGCTGTGAATCCGTGAGTCCTTCTCTAAGCTTTGTTTGGTGACCCACATTGTGATAAAACTGTATTCAAATGGACTATGGATACAGGTAGACATCAGCTGTATATATATATTTTTCCCAGGAGACCAGATTCCTGGATTCTTGTCATAGTGGTCCACTTCGGGAGCTCTAACAGTTCATAATCATTCTTGGGATATCTTCGGGGTCTGACCACTAAAATGCAGTATTCCGCTGAGCGTTCAAGTCCATGTTATTTGGAAAGACAGACTGTTATTCAGTCTGCAGCCATCTTTCCTGGAATCCCATTCAGACAAAGCTGGAGCTGCTTGAACTAATGAGAGAGACCTTTCATCAAACCCTGGAGGTCAGCAGATGTGGGCTTTATGGGAAAAGTGAAAGAATGGGGAAATTCCATCATGGTCCAGGAAAGGCACTTACAGTAAACTCTGTTATCCATCAGGGGAGAGTAATAAGCTGCTCTGCCAGGTGGCAAATAAAGAATCTTTATAGATGCTGCATGGATTATCAATTCTCAAATATTGCAAGAAACATGGAAAAACACCAAAACATTGCTGTAAATAAATCCTCTTTGAGGATTCCAAAATCCTTTGCCTGGGTGCTACATAGCAAGTGAGAATGACCAGATATGGAGTATCATTTTTGCTATTTGTTTGTCAAGTAAACACAGGCTCTTGTTTATCAATCCTGCTACTTTGAGGAGAAAAAACAATATTACCAAACACGATTGGCGTTTCCTCTTTTTCCCTGTTTCTAACCACTGCCCTTTTTCTGCTCCTTGCCCTAGCCATGCATGGACAGGACCATCTCTAGAAAAGGATCAAGCATCTCCCACTCGCACACCTGGGCTCAGGTGCCTCTTCCCTCTGCAAGCCCTCCTTGCTTTCACTGCTCTACTTTCCTACTTGCCAAGCTCAGCTGTGTTCTTTTTCATGAAGGGTCCTTAATAACCCCCAAAAGATGCCTGTCCCCCATTTCAGAACTCTTACAGCCCTTTGTTTTTGTTTCCCTTAAGGCATTTATCAACACTGTGCTCTTTGGACCAATGAATCTATCTAGTCTTGGCACTCTCCTTTAGAAGACGTTTGGCATATAATCTGTCTGTCTGAGAACATTAATGTTCTCATTTGGTTTAAACATCTTGATAGGAGCAGAAACAGGGTACTATTTATCAAAATTTTTAAACTATGAAAGCACGGGCAATAGTCTGTATTCTGTCTTCCTAATGTCTGTGAGCATCTTGAGGGCAGGAGCATATATATGCATGCAGCATTTCTGTCTCCCAGCACAGAGCCTGTCATCTGGTGGGGAGCAATCAAGACTGGTTGAATTAAACTGAACATAATAAAAGGTCACCTTGCACATTAACACATTAGCAGACTGCTAGAGACAGAAATGCTCACCCTTTTCAACTGGATAAAAAGATCACATTTTACACTGGAAAGAGAAGCAATGGCCTGTGCCATCGCACTTTGAAGCTCAGATGGTTTTACTTTGATAAAGCAGCATCACAAATGAGCCTGTGATCTTTCTAAAAATTGCTGACAATGGCCAGTTTATCATGTTGGCTCTTTTTAGCTGTAGATGTAGACTCATTCATTCATTCAATAAAGAATACTGGGCACCAACTATGTGCTAGGAGCTGGTACAGTTTCAGGGTTGCAGCAGTGGAATAAGGCAAGGTTCTTAAACTCAAGGAGGTTGTATTCTCAAGGAGGAAATAGGTAGAAAGTAAACAAGTAACAAATATGGTTCAGTGGTACAAAGAGTAAATCTGGGTAATGATAACCAGAGTGATAGGGAGATCAGTATTTCAGGTAGGATGGGTGGTCAGGGAAAGCTGTTTGGAGAAGATGACTGTATGACTTAAAGGACATAGTAAGTGACCCATGTAAATATGTGAAAGAGGAACAGCACGTGCAAAGGCTCTGAGGTAGGAGCATACATGGTGTGTTTGAGGAAGAGAATAAAACAGCCTAGTAGGAGGCAACTAGACAGGGATGAGGTTGTGACAAGTGGCAAGAGATGAGCTCAGGGTAATAGCAGTGAGCCAGACATAGGAACTATAGGATACAGTAAGAATGGGATTTTACGCTAAGATGGCACCAGAGGCGGTAGGTAGCTACTGAAATGGTCCTGATGCTGATGGTGGTGAGTGGTGAGGGTGGTTAGAAGGCATGGGGGCCTGGCTAGAACTGCAGGTTTTGCTGATAACTGGACATAAAGTCTGAGAGAAAGAACTATGTAGTTCTTAGCCCAATCAATTGGAAAGAGAGAGTTGCCATTTACTGACATGTAGTAGATTGTGGGAGTAGGTTTTGGGGTGAGGGAGTTCAGTCTGGGATGTTAATTTGGGGATACCCATTGGCCATCCAAGTAGAAATGTTGAGCGGGCAATTAGACATACAAGATTGTAGTTCAAGGAAGATGTTCAGGCTGGACATATAAATATGAGTTGCCAGCAAAAACTTTTGATATTTGTCTGCTCAGGTTGCCGTAATAAAATGCCGCAGACAGGGTGGCTTAAGTGACAAGAACTTATTTCATAAGGCTCTGCAGGCTAGTAAGTCCAAGATCAAGGTACCAGCCAGTTCAGTTCCCTGACGAGGGCTCACCTCCTGGCCTGTAGACAGTCCACTATCTGTGTTCCCACATGGCTAAGGCAGAAAGAAGAAACAGCTCTCTGACATCTTCTCTTCTAAGCACACCAACCCCATCCGGCAGTCCCACCCTCATGACCTCATCTCAACCTGACCTCCTGACACCATCACACTAGGGTTCAAGAGTTCAACACATGAAATCTGGGGGCATCCGATTCAGTCCATAGCAGTGTTTAAAGCCATGCAACTGTTGTTTAAAGAGAACAGAGGGGAGGTGGGGGGAGGAGAGGTTAGCGAGTGGAGCCCAGGAGTGGTGGGAGGAGATGAGGCAGGACCAGCAACAGTCACAGACAGGACTGGCCTTGGGAGTGGCGAGGAGGAGAAGCAGGAGCGTGCTGTCCTGAGAACCAAGTGAAGAAAGCGTTGCAAAGAAGACAGATGGTCGCCTGGGTTAAACACCACTGACAGACCAAGGGGGTTGGGGACGCCAAGAGACCATGCATACAGCGAGGAGCAGGTCATGATGACCTTGACTAGAGCAAGTCTCTGTCAAGTGATGGGATGATATTCTGACTATGTTGGGGTTCAAGAGGAAGTGAGACAGAGGGAATTGCAGGAACTACTATCAGTCACT